GGCTCATCTGTTCCGGATGCCTCCTGGACGCCTCCCTGGGGAGGTGTTCCGGGCACGTCCCACCGGGAGGAGGCCCCGGGGTAGACCCAGGACACGCTGGAGGGACTATGTCTCTCAGCTGGCCTGGGAACGCCTTGGGGTCCCCCCGGACGAGCTGGAGGAGGTGTGTGTGGATAGGGAAGTCTGGGCGTCTCTGCTTAGACTGCTGCCCCGGCGAACCAGGAACGGATGAAGCGGAAGAAAATGGATGGATGGATATATGTTTATATGTATATGTATACATGTTCACATGTTTAATGAGACGAAGACAGCGTGTTGTTTTCTGATTTGTTCTCAACATTTAACTTTTACGAGACCCTTTCTGTCAGACCAACGACTTGTTACTATGGAAACAGAGAAGTTAGAGACCTGAGCTTTAACCCTATATGCCCGCGTGCATCGGCGCCGATGCACGCGCACATGTTTTACCAATGATCAATTTACTCGCGAACGGTAAAACGTAGCAACTTACTTTTTTTTCCTCTGGGAAGTACGTATTCAGGGCTTTCCGAAACTGACAACTGATTTGTCTGTGCGATGCACGTAGGATAAACTACGTTTGTCTGAAAGTCCGTGTCCAAAGCATGACCCGTGAGGTACAAACAGCTGTGAGATACAAACACACAGGGACTGCCAAAGATCGTCAGAGAGTGGGATGTCTGTCTGTACTTGTTGTCCCACAGTTGAAACTACAGCTGCGATTGCAATAACCGGCTGAAGAGTGCGCATTATTGATAAAGACGATAATAAATACAGTAAAATGACATTATGTGTATATGATGTATATAAATATATGTATTATATAAATAATTGATGTTTTTGTTTTTTTTTGGCTCAGTTTTTTATGTTTTACGTTTTTTACAGCTGTACTACAGAAGCAACCCCAGCATTATAGACAAACTGCTTCAGGAAGGGCATCAGGAGTACAGAGTTTTTTGCTTTTATAGTGGAATTTTGTAAAAAGTATAATAGTTAGAGATTCAATTTTTTTCCCCATTATCCCCAAGACCATAAATAACATTTCTATGCAGTGTAAAAAGTTGTTTATAGCATTTCATTGTGTTTTTTCAATACATTTTTGTTAAATTGATTTTCCGTTTGATTTTTTTCTTTGTCTTCATGATTCCATCATTTTTATATAATTCATATGACAGCTTTACAATATGAATATTCTAAAACCCCAGGTTGTACTGAAAAAAACAAAGTATACTGCTTGACTCTGCATCAAAAGATGACTGTTTTATGAACAATTATACACAAAGAAAACCAGGCGAGGAAAGTTCCCCAAAATGAACCATGTGCATAGAGGGTTAAATGAAAGAGACTGAGCAGTTCGTGGAAACGTTTACATCAGATTAAAACATTTCCGTCTTTACAAGAAAAAGTGACGATGACGAGATAAGATCATGTTCAAGAAACAGCGATCAGTGAGACCAGACTCAGACCAGACCTAGTCCTGGTTTAGACCGGCTTCAGTCCTGCTTCAGTCCTGGTCCAGTCCTGTTTCAGTCCTGCTTCAGTCCTGGTCCAGACCTGGTCCAGACCTGGTCCAGACCTGGTCCAGACCATGGCCATCAGAGTCCTGCTTCTGTCCCTTTGCTGTTTTGGTAAGTGTTAGTTTGAATTCTCTGGTGATTTTCAGACTTTTCTCTTTGTTTCGCTCAAATGTAAACAGAAATTTTTCAAACACATTTGTGTAAAAATATGAAAAGTTAATTTGTAAAAAAAAGAGAAAAGCAAAGAAACATTTGAAAAATTCACTTTTTACTCTTTAGCAGAATTTTGTGAAAATCCAGCTCTAATTCAGCGCCAGACGAATAAAGTTGGACCTCTTCTTGAGCCTTTCAAATGTGCTGCTACTAATAATATTAATAATAATAATAACAAAACATGGAGATTATAACGAGAGGAAAACAACTGTTAGACAAAAATAAAGAAAAAGTGGTGGTAATAATAATAATAGAAATAGTGATAAGAATGCACGGCTGATGGTGGATCTTTGCATTGTGTTGTGATTGGGTTTCTCTTCTGAATAATTGGTCTCTCTGGTCTCTCTCTCTGGTCTCTCTCTGGTCTCCCTCTGGTCTCTCTCAGGCAGGGGTGTCCAAAATTTTTAGTAAGAGGGCCACTTTAGTTCACCAGACTAGTCCAGGGGCCGACATCACGGACTGAAAAACTGTCTTGACTGTTCTGCGATATATGATGATCAACAATAGAGTTGAAGTTGGCTGAATGACAAATATTTACCATCTCACTAGCTACATTAGCATCATTAAGGGAAGTGACACAATCAAGAACCATGTGCAAATCAACTCAAAGACGTACTGGGCTTTAGAACAAGGTCTATGTTGGCTGAGCTGAAGTTGGATGATGACAAAGTGAACTTGTGTTTTTGATCTCAAAGACTACTTTGGGTTAACAAGACAGAGGGCCACATAAAATGACACTGAGGGCCGCATTTGGCCCCCGGGCCTGAGTTTGGACATGCCTGCTCTAAGGTTTCTCTGGTGTCCCTCTGGTCTCTCTCTCTGGTCTCCCTCTGGTCTCTCCCTCTGGTCTCTCTGGTCCCTCTCTGGTCTCTCTCTCTGGTCTCCCTCTGGTCTCTCCCTCTGGTCTCTCTGGTCCCTCTCTGGTCTCTCTCTCTGGTGTCTCCCTCTGGTCTCTCTCTCTGGTCTCTCTCTGGTCTCTCTCTGGCCTCTCTCTGGTCTCTCTCTCTGGTCTCTCTCTCTGGTCTCGCTCTCTGGTCTCTCTCTGGTCTCTCTCTGGTGTCTCTCTCTGGTCTCTCTCTGGTGTCTCTCTGGTCTCTCTCTGGTCTCTCTCTCTGGTCTCTCTCTGGTCTCTCTCTCTGGCCTCTCTCTGGTGTCTCTCTGGTCTCTCTCTGGTGTCTCTCTCTGGTGTCTCTCTGGTCTCTCTCTCTGGTCTCTCTCTCTGGTCTCTCTCTGGTCTCTCTCTCTGGTCTCTCTCTCTGGTCTCTCTCTGGTCTCTCTCTGGTCTCTCTCTGGTCTCTCTCTGGTGTCTCTCTGGTCTCTCTCTGGTCTCTCTCTGGTCTCTCTCTGGTCTCTCTCTGGTGTCTCTCTGGTCTCTCTCTGGTCTCTCTCTGGTCTCTCTCTGGTCTCTCTCTGGTGTCTCTCTGGTCTCTCTCTCTGGTCTCTCTCTGGTGTTTCTCTCTGGTCTCTCTCTGGTCTCTCTCTGGTCTCTCTCTCTGGTCTCTCTCTCTGGTCTCTCTCTGGTGTCTCTCTGGTCTCTTTGGGATTTGTTGATTGTGATGAGTGATGCGTCCAGTTTTCCTCAGCTGTGTCATGTGACACACAGCTGCCATTTTGTAACACAACTTCTGTGTGCAGGGGTCCTGGGAGACACACACAACTCATCAGGTAACATACACACACACAACTCATCAGGTACCACATACACACACAACTCATCAGGTAACACACACACACACAACTCATCAGGTACCACATACACACACAACTCATCAGGTAACACACACACACACAACTCATCAGGTAACACACAACTCATCAGGTAACACACGCAACTCATCAGGTAACACACACGCAACTCATCAGGTAACACACACACCAATCATCAGGTAGCACACACACACACACAACTCATCAGGTAACACACACACACAACTCATCAGGTAACACACACACAACTTATCAGGTAACACACACACCAATCATCAGGGAACACACACACACCAATCATCAGGTAACACACACACGCAACTCGTCAGGTAACACATACACACAACTCATCAGGTAACCCACACACACCAATCATCAGGTAACACACACCCCTCATCAGGTAACACACACACAACTAATCAGGTACCACACACACCACTCATCAGGTACCACACACACACACGCAACTCATCAGGTACCACACACAAAAATAATCAGGTATCACACACGCAACTCATCAGGTACCACACACACACACACACACTCAACTCATCGGGTATCACACACACACAACTCATCAGGTATCACACACACACAACTCACCAGGTACCACACACACACACACAACTCATCAGGTACCACACACACACACACCACTCATCAGGTACCACACACACACAACTCATCAGGTACCCCACACACGCAACTCATCAGGTATCACACAAAACTCATCTGGTACCAGACACACAACTCACCAGGTAACACACACACAACTCACCAGGTACTACACACACACAACTCATCAGGTACTACACACAAACAACTCCTCAGGTACTACACACACACACAACTCATCAGGTACTACACACACACACAACTCATCAGGTACTACACACACATACAACTCATCAGGTACTACACACACACACACAACTCATCAGGTACTACACACACAAACTCATCAGGTACTACACACACACAACTCATCAGGTACCACACACACACACAACTCATCAGGTACCCCACACACACATACAACTCATCAGGTACCACACACACATACAACTCATCAGGTAACACACACACATACAACTCATCAGGTAACACACACACATACAACTCATCAGGTAACACACACACATACAACTCATCAGGTAACACACACACATACAACTCATCAGGTACCACACACACATACAACTCATCAGGTAACACACACACATACAACTCATCAGGTAACACACACACATACAACTCATCAGGTAACACACACACATACAACTCATCAGGTAACACACACACACGTTCAATGACCTCCCTCTGTGTGCTGCCTCTGTGACTCGGCAACAGATGAAATGGAAGAAACTAAATGGATGCACAGCTTTAGAACACTTCAATGACTGATGACAGGTTTTTCTCTAGTGTCTGTGGATGTACACACCCACACACGCACCCACACACACATGCCCACACACGCACGCACACACACATGCCCGCACACACACACAAACACGCACAGTGGATGTAGTGACTGTGTCTCCTGTTTCAGGGCCTTACAGTGTGAGGCTGGAGGGAGGAGCCACTCGCTGTCAGGGGGAGGTGCAGCTGCAGGGACCAGGTCTGGACTGGACTCCTCTGGGGCTCGACCATGCCTCTGTTCCTCTGGTGTCTGGATCCAGACTCTGCTCTGCCCTGGACTGTGGCTCTGTTCTGTCCGTGGAGATAACACCTGTTCCCAAACAAAAAGCTTTGAAAGTCAAACCCTTCTGTCATGAAACTGAACTGATCGACTGTTTTCATAACGAAACATCTGACTCTCGTCAAAGTCTTCAGCTCACGTGCTCAGGTCAGTGACACTCAGCTGTTCACACCAACACTCTTCAAATGTAGCTCTGCTGCTCATCAGAAGGAGGCGCAGGTTTGACAGTGAGTCAGAAGGAGGCGCAGGTTTGACAGTGAGTAAGAAGGAGGTGCAGGTTTCACAGTGAGTAAGAAGGAGGCGCAGGTTTGACAGTGAGTCAGAAGGAGGCGCAGGTTTGACAGTAAGTAAGAAGGAGGCGCAGGTTTCACAGTGAGTCAGAAGGAGGCGCAGGTTTGACAGTAAGTAAGAAGGAGGCGCAGGTTTCACAGTGAGTCAGAAGGAGGCGCAGGTTTGACAGTGAGTCAGAAGGAGGCGCAGGTTTGACAGTAAGTAAGAAGGAGGCGCAGGTTTGACAGTGAGTCAGAAGGAGGCGCAGGTTTGACAGTAAGTAAGAAGGAGGCGCAGGTTTCACAGTGAGTCAGAAGGAGGCGCAGGTTTGACAGTGAGTCAGAAGGAGGCGCAGGTTTGACAGTAAGTAAGAAGGAGGCGCAGGTTTCACAGTGAGTCAGAAGGAGGCGCAGGTTTCACAGTGAGTCAGAAGGAGGCGCAGGTTTCACAGTGAGTCAGAAGGAGGCGCAGGTTTCACAGTGAGTCAGAAGGAGGCGCAGGTTTGACCAAGAGAGTCTGGCTGCAGACTCCCCCCCCTCCCTCGCAGACCTCCCTGTTCAGCCCCTCCTTCAGGAGCCCCTGTTACGTCACTTCCTTTACTGGACACAAGCAGACTTCTCTCAGTTTAGGGAGACCCGGACAGTGAGGAGCATGAGAACATCTTGGAGCCCTTCAAGGTTGTCTTCTCTCAGATTGAGGACATGGAACTCTTTTCTGTTGAATGTGTTGATAAAAGGGGTGTTTTATTGTGAATGCATAATAAATAGTTGAACGGCTTTATCATTGAGATAATTTATTCACCACAAACAGGGAATGTTCAGTATTGTATCACAGGTTACAGAACTGTAGGAAAATCAAAAATGTGAGTAGACCTATAGGTTTAGCTAACGGTTGTTCCTCTAGAAAATAATAGAAAAAAGAAATATTGGGTTGCAGCTCTTTACTATAATAAAGCCTTGCCATGGTATCTCCATATATATTGTCTATTTGACGTGTTTTCATGTTCTATACTATGGGTGACATGTAGGTGGCGCTCTTGTAAACAAATGGCAACAGAATTGTTCTTTGGCATCCCAAATGCCCAGATGAAAACAGTGATCGCCCATATACATAATACCTGGTCACAATTTTTGGAACAAACGTCACTATTTTTGTTTGTTACATAATATATACTATATGTTAAATATAAGCTTTATAACTTTGTGAAGAAAAACATTTTCAAGTCCCAGGGAAGTGACATAACAGTAGCTCATGGCAAAGGTCACGTGACAGGGGCTGAACAGGGAGGTCTGCGAGGAAGGGGGAGTCTGCAGCCAGATGCCTCTCGGTTTGGCAGTGAGTCAGAAGGAGGCGCACAGACCTGGAGGTACAGAGGTTTAAAAAAGTAAACATTTGTATAAACTATTAAATTGTACATAATCTGTTGCAACACTGCCCCCTACTGTAGGGGACTTTATATAACAGCAGTATGTGTTCACGGAGGTGACTTTATATAACAGCAGTATGTGTTCACGGAGGTGACTTTATATAACAGCAGTATGTGTTCACGGAGGTGACTTTATATAACAGCAGTATGTGTTCACGGAGGTGACTTTATATAACAGCAGTATGTGTTCACGGAGGTGACTTTATATAACAGCAGTATGTGTTCACGGAGGTGACTTTATATAACAGCAGTATGTGTTCACGGAGGTGACTTTATATAACAGCAGTGTGTGTTCACGGAGGTGACTTTATATAACAGCAGTGTGTGTTCACGGAGGTGACTTTATATAACAGCAGTGTGTGTTCACGGAGGTGACTTTATATAACAGCAGTGTGTGTTCACGGAGGTGACTTTATATAACAGCAGTATGTGTTCACGGAGGTGACTTTATATAACAGCAGTGTGTGTTCACGGAGGTGACTTTATATAACAGCAGTGCGTGTTCACGGAGGTGACTTTATATAACAGCAGTATGTGTTCACGGAGGTGACTTTATATAACAGCAGTACTGTTCACGGAGGTGACTTTATATAACAGCAGTATGTGTTCACGGAGGTGACTTTATATAACAGCAGTATGTGTTCACGGAGGTGACTTTATATAACAGCAGTATGTGTTCACGGAGGTGACTTTATATAACAGCAGTATGTGTTCACGGAGGTGACTTTATATAACAGCAGTATGTGTTCACGGAGGTGACTTTATATAACAGCAGTATGTGTTCACGGAGGTGACTTTATATAACAGCAGTATGTGTTCACGGAGGTGACTTTATATAACAGCAGTATGTGTTCACGGAGGTGACTTTATATAACAGCAGTGCGTGTTCACGGAGGTGACTTTATATAACAGCAGTATGTGTTCACGGAGGTGCGCCATACGTGTATTTCATTATTAAGCGGTGCTTCCGCATTGGCGAACACACTCGAAGCACTGGAGCATGAAAACGCATATGCTCACAAGCACTATGTCCCCAACATTGTCAACCCTGGTTTTAGTCATGGTGTGGGTCGTGTTTTGGCTGTTTACAGTATGTTCAGTCTGCTCTCTCAGACCACTAATGTCGCCATGACCACTTTGCGGCTCTCTGATTGGTCACTGCACGAGCGTCCCGAGGAAACGCTCGGCAAAATGTATCCCCTGCGTGCGTTGATTTTCCGCTCCTGCGCCCCTGTTGCGCAGTCCGTGCGTGCATCCCGAGACACACATGCAGTTCAACACTCGAATGCAGTTCAACACTCGAATGCAGTTCAACACTCGAATGCAGTTCAACACTCGAATGCAGTTCAACACTCGAATGCAGTTCAACACTCGAATGCAGTTCAACACTCGAATGCAGTTCAACACTCGAATGCAGTTCAACACTCGAATGCAGTTCAACACTCGAATGCAGTTCAACACTCGAATGCAGTTCAACACTCGAATGCAGTTCAACACTCGAATGCACGTAAATTGACTGTGCATTGAAAGTCGTCGCAGCATGATCCGGTGTGAAAGCAGCATAACTTTTCCCAGTGTTGTGCCTGTCTCCTCTGTGGATAATATATTTACTGCAGATTTTCTGAACAAGTGGCTGCTGCACACATTTGCGTTAGCCATTTACCTTAGCATTAGCTCTGCAGCTAAAATAGGCTACTTTGTGCTATGTGGTGAGAGTGAAAACTCTCTCCAACCTGTGTGCGGGTGCCTCTCCTGTCTCCTTTGTGGATGTATATTTATTGCAGACATGGAATAAACGTTGCCTTGTCTCAAAAGGACGCTCTGATATGGCGCCAGATTCACGCCAACAGTCCACACGCAATTAATACATACACGCGCAGCTTCATTTAATTCACGCGCGCGTAAACTACTCTCCATGCGCATATTTCTCGTCACACACGGGCAGATCCTCTTGCTCCACGCGCAGATTCAGTACCACGAGCAACAGTACGCGTGTGTGCGCTTGTGACTTGCCTTCTCCCTTCTCGTGGTCTGTGTTCTGCGATGCGAGCGTTGAAAACGTTTGGCATCTCTTCTACGCGCGCCTGAAAAAGCTTTTGTTGGGGCGGGGTTATTGAAAGGTAAACAACCCACTGCTGGATTTCTGGGCGACGTCACAGGCAGGTTGTGTGCACAGCCCAGTGGCTAAAGAAGGTAGCATTGACCGGAGCACACTTTATACCTGGTAAGTGTCTGTGTCCTACATATTCTAAAAATCAGAGTCCCTTCCATACAGTAGGTCCCATTTCGTTTTGTCGCCTTTCACGCGTGAATCACACGAGACTCACGTGTGATTCATGCGTCTTTTTTATTTTTTCCCCAGTGATGCTGCAATGACCCAAACAACCACCAGGTGGCACTTGTGAGCAGGGTTAGGAAAATTGGCTTCTCATCGGTCTTTATTCTCTGTTCACCGGACAACTTTCTGTGGCTTTATAGCTCAATGATAAAGAGGTGGACTCTGGTGTGAGAGGACTCGGGTTCAAGTACAGTCTATGACACTTTTGATTTTGTTGACGTTTACATTTTTTCTAAAACATACTTAGTAATTAGGCCAACACATTTAAAATAGTTGCTAGACTGTAGTAAACTGTTTTAAACTTCACAATCTGCACCAACCAAACTGCAGGAAAAAAATGCAACTTTATTCAGTAACGGAGTAATCTGATTCATATACTCCCCCCGCTAATAAAATTTGAGGATTGGCCGGGGCTCGAACCCCGACCGTCCAAGCGAAAGTCTTGGACCATCCTGCTACGCCACACAGGCGATGGAGAAAACACTTGATCTAATAGGACAGAGCGCTGAGTGAATGAGCCGTGCGGATGTGCGGGACGCTTAAAATGCCTTATATGCAAGTTAATGCAAATGTTTGCCATATGATCTGCTACTCCTGTGCATTTTAGAATTCCTAATTAATGGTAGCTATATGTAACATGTGTAGTTTAATTTTTTGTAATTATACACAGCCTATATATTGCTAATCAAAGTAAAAGTATTCAGAATACAGTGTACACTCGTGTACATAACATCATAACTCAATACTTCAAAAACTCATAAACTTGGTACTTCACTCGGTACTTCAAAAAACTCAGAACTCGGAATACTTCAAAAACTCAGAAAACTCATAAAACATGTTCAGATCTTTCATAAAACTCGTCAACAATCTTCAGTAAAATACCAAACTTCATCAGTCGATGGTGGATCCAGATATTGCTTTGAAAACAGTCTCTCCCACTTCTTTGTGTTGATTTCTTCAGGCTGCATTTGTGCCGAGCCATGATTCTTCTGTGACGTGTCTTTCAATCACACGTTTCAGCTTCAGTGTCCAGATTCAGAAATCCAATTCAGTCCAAATTATGTCCAAATTCAGAAATCCAATTGTTCCAAATGATGTCCATGCAAAAGAGGACGCTGGTGTTGTCCATGTCTCAGCAGCTCACAGCCTGACTGGAATCAGGGGCTGTGC